CCCCCCCCCCCCCTTTCTCGACCGCGCCGCGTCGCCACGGCCCCGCGCGTCACCCTCATTCCGCGCGACCCCTTCGACCGGTATCCACGTGGGACGGCAAGACGAGGGTGTGAGGTAGCAGACAACGCGGAGATACCACCGCGCCGCGGCAGCTGGCTCAGTGCTTCTCAACCGCGAACTTTACGCGCGTCCGTTAGCGCGCGAGCGGTAATTTACAACTAGCGCTACGTTCGTTCGTACGTACGTACGTACGTACGGTGGGTGCGTGCAGGTACGGACGGATATATTACGAAATATACGAAGCGCGGCGAGATGATAAATAGACCACGCGAGGATTTAACAGCCACTTCGGTGGGAATTACGAGCGCGCCGGTATTTTTTTTTTCTCTTTTCCCTCTCTTCCTTTCGTCCCGCTCGGTAATCGGCCACTTCTCGCGTCATCATCGTCGCGTGACGTCCAGATTAATCCGGAATATGGCTTCCGCTCGAAATTCTCAATCGTACTTACAACAAAAGAGCATCGCTTGCGCGCGCAAATTTCTAGTGAATTATAATTTCTTCCCCAACGACCAGCATCTCGTCGGCGCGTTGGCCCATTTCACCAGGGTCGCGATTTTTTTTAATCTGACCTGTGGGCGATGCATAACAACGTGCGCGCGCGCACACGGCAAAATGGCGCGCGGTAACGAAGGCGCGTTGTTAAGCGCAACGAAATCGCGCTTTAAAGCGGATAGTATCGAGCCTCCGAGCGACGCTCTCGGCTACGACACGGAGAGCGAGGCGAATCAACGTGTGAGAAACGAACGTTCGTTCGTTCGAAGCATCCGCCGATCTAAATATATCGCGCTCTCATCGACATTGGACGGTGAGTATTACGTTGCCGACAAGCCCGTCGCGTGTTCGCTCGCGTCCGCCAGAGAGAATGAGGGGAAGGACCCACACATAGAGGGAATTTTCTATCGCGCGCAGATCGCGATTTATACACGGCACGGATCATGACACACGTGCGTCGCGAGCGAGCGAGCGAACTAGTGAACGAACGAACGAGCGGCTCTGATGATCAAAGTAGGACACTCGAAAGCACGGATCGAAGCGCTGATTAGAGTCGAGGCTTCGAGCGTGCGAGGTGCTGCGAGATAGCGCTTTTCGGAGCGCCTCGGTGCCGGTGTCGGCGGCGTATCGAGGACGTTATCCGTGGACCGGTGAGTCTGTGTGAGTGTTCCCATGCGCGCGCGAGCGTATACGCGGGCACAGCGTGCATGTGTTCGTAAATACGTGTGCGCGCGCGAGGGAAGATGGAACGATGGAGCGAGCGAGGGAGAAGCGCGCGGTCGGTGACGAGAGAGACGATGTGCGTGCGAGAGAGAGAGAGACAGAGGGAAGGAGATAGAACGAGGGCCTAAATCAGGAGCGATCGCGCTGAGCGACGTCGCTATCTCTGAATATGCGAACCACTATTTGGCGTCCGCGCGGCGCGCACGTACCTAGTACCCCGTATTACTAGATACTAGATAGTACCTAGCCTCTGCCCGCCTATGTACTTTCGCTCCCGTAGAGACGGCTGGACGTGTGTGTAAGTGCGCGAGATGGAAAACGCCTTGCATATACACGTGCACATACTACGTGTGCACACACACACACATATATATATGTATGTATATATATATATATATATATGTATGTATATATATATACATACACGCGTTCTCGTAGGTCTATGTACGCTTACACCTACGCGGTTACATGCCCTGCGAACCGTGCACACGATCCAACGCGAGCATCGAGCATGCCGCCATCCCTCGCGTCCTTCCCTTCGTTCCCAACTCTGTGTGTACGCGGTGTGCGGAAAACTGCGGAGTAAAGTCGATCTCTCGCGATCGCGAGGCGACGGGCACTCCGACCGTCGTCGCCGCCGCCGTCGTCGTCGTGCTCGTCGCTGCAACGATGCGCGGTTTTATCGCGCGGCATCATTACGTGCGCGCTGTACCAACTCAAGAGGATGACGGCATGCTATACGACGATATGGCGTAGGGAACGTTCGTTAAAGGCGAATATCGAAAAATAAGAATGCGGCCGACGCCGCGCGTCGAAGATGCACCGGCGCGGGCTCGTCGAAGCGGACGCGCTTGAAAATTATTTCGCGTCGCTGTCGTTTTTCAGCGCCGTCTACGTTTTAGCCAGGTTCGTTCTCTTAAAAGCGAGCGCGCCGTTAAGTGGTGTTCGTTAAAGCGAAATATCGAAAAATGTGCGCTTCACGACCCCGCCGTTAGCGATCGAGATTTGCCGAACTTCATGTATGTACCCGTACAGTGCATTTTATTTATCCTGTGGACGTCCCGTCGACGTTCTTAAGATGTAGGGACGTCCTCAGGATGTATTTAGGACATCTGTTTGCTATATATATATAATGCTTCACTCAAACTTAAAGCGGATTCAGACTACATATGAATGTTTCAGTCGATTAGATCGAATCTCTTCCTGTGATGTTGGGATACATTAGATTCACTTTTCAATTTCGAGTGAAAATATTTATTCAACGATTTAGGAAAAGTAGCTGGAAAGAGTATTCTGCAGAATATTTATTCACTATGAGTGAACAATCGATTGAATTTGAGTGAGCCGATTATCATTCTATTTTTCGAGTGAAATTCTATCCTAAAAAATTTTAAGTGTACATTTCATGCAAAAGGTATGTACAATGTTATTTTATTTTATGAATTGAATGATCGGCTATAAGACTAAGTAGTGTTAGAATACGGAGGAGGTATTCCAACACGAATATACAAATAGTGATATCGATGTGTGTATATATATATATATATATATATATATATATATATATATATTCACTCAATGTAGCATTCACTCTTACGATTTCAAGTGTATTTTCACTATCATTTTAAGTGAATTTTCGTTCTAAATGACACTTTACTCCAAAAAACTTGGAGAATGTAAAGCTTGAAATTTAAATGGCTATATTTAACGTCAAATGTAATTCGAACGTGGAGGTTATTACGATTCTCATGAAAATTACCAAGCTAATTCCAAAGAGATACTCATTACGCAAATATTTGCGCTTTATTCGTTAAATACGAGGACAAATTAATAAATATCCGTGTTTGAAGACAGGCGACGTTGCTGATGCAGTTTGGCAATGCCATCGTGTACTACCATCTTTCAAACGGCGCCATACAAAATTTCAGAGTGATTCATGCGATAGTTTTAATTTGACAGCAATTCGACCGTGTTTGATGTTTTTCGATATAATGGAAAAAGAGCATTATCGATCCGTGATTCGCTTTTTATTTTTAGACGGAGGAACGTGCGAAGAAATGAAAACGAAGTTAGATGCCGTCTATGGGAACCCTTCACCATCTATGACAATCGTCAAATGCTGGTTCAAATATTCATCTATTTTTGATGAGGAGCGTCCAGGCCGTCCGGCGGACGTGGTTACCGAGGAAATCATTGAAAAGGTAGGTACACGACATGATTCTCGCTGATCGCCGAACGAAAGTGCATGAAGTAGTAGAGGCTGTCGTACGGCATTCAATATTTTGCATGATAACTTGGGAATGAAAAAGCTGTCGGCTCGATGGGTGCCGCGATTGCTCACGGTGGACAACAAGCGGATGCGGCTATCAATTTCGAAGCAATGTTTGGAGCTGTTTAAGCGCAATCCGCAGGAATTTTTGCGTCGAATCGTAACCGTTGGTGAAACACGGATCTATCGTTACACACCGGAGACTAAGGAACAGTCAAAACAGTGGGCTTCACCTGGCGAACGTCTCTCCGAACGGCTCCGAAGAAGGCCAAGACGATCCCATCAGCCGAAAAGGTGATGGCCACCGTTTTTTGGGATGCGTGATCTTCATCGACTATTTGGAGAAGGGAAAAACTGTTATGGGGCAGAGCACTATGTTGATTTATCGAGCCAATTCGATGTTGAATTGAAGAAAAAACAGTCCCATTTAGCGAAAAAAAAGCGTTGTTCCACCACGACAATATACCAGATCACTCCTTCGCAATCGCCACCTGCGACTTCTTCCTGTTTTCAAACTTGAGAAAATGGCTCGGTGGAAAGAGATTCACGTCGAATGAGGAAGAAGTAATCGCCGAAACAGAGGCTTATTTTGCAGAGTTCGACAAATCGTATTTTTCAGAGTGGTTAAAAAATGGCAGGGGCGTTGGGAAAAGTGTATCCTCCTAAAAGGGAATTACGTTGAAAAACAATTTGCGTGAAAAACTTGCGTCTTCATTACTAACACGGGTACTTATTGATTTGCCCCCGTACGTATCGCGGGGAGCGCTCGCGATTCCGCTGCATGGTGTATCATGCGGCGACGCGAAAGACATTGGGTAGAACTGGTTTTCAGTATTTTCTCGATAATCGGCGGCGAATGATCGGCCAGCGGCGATTTCACATCGTTAATCGAGATTTCCACCTAATTTGAATCTCGTAAACGCACTTCACGTGCGCACGCAAGAGAGAGGAAGAGAGAGAGAGAAAGAGAGAAAGAGAGAGAGGGGACGAGAACTCGCTCGCATCTTCTTCACGTCCCACCTCCTCCCTTTCGAACCGCTACTGCCGACCGGGCGATTAACCAACGAAGGAAGAGACATTAAACGGGTCTATTTTTGTTCGCTCGCTCGCGCGACACAAAGCCCCGAGAGATCTTTTTCGCACGTCGGCATTCGCAACACGGCGGCGTGCGTGAACGACACGCGGTGACGTCAGTATTTACGCGCGATGACGCGCTCGCGACACGGTGCCGCGTTGGTAATAGCAATGATAGTGGGCAGCAAGGGGTGTCACCGGCAGAAATGTTATATTCGACGGTATTTAACGCCGCGACGCTCGCTTGCCCCATACACGTCATAATTGCTCCCGGTATGCTTCCGCGACCGCGTGGGTGCGCCCCACCATCGGACGACATCGGAGTTAGAAACTTCGCCGTGCGACTGAACGGATTATAGCGCGCTGATTGTGAACGAGCGGAAGAGAGCGCGCTTCGAGCTTTCGAAACTTTATAAACACAACGTCTACGACTTTGGCGGGAACGCCTTCCGGGGTAATAGAAATTGATACGTATCAATTGACGTCGTTATTTATATATATAAATGAAAAAAATATACATGTATAAAATCAGCAATCCTCGAATTAATAGTATATTCAAAGTGCCGCGTGGAATTATATTACCGGATGCTCACTTCCGGTATCGCTTGTCATTCACAACAGTCGAGCAAGAACCTTCTTTTTCAGTAACACACTCTCGTCAGCGAACGCTAAATTAACTTATTAGCGATTTAATAGTCGCTGTTATTGTGCCGCGACGATGAAAAATATTGCCGCACGCGGGAGAGAGATGGAGAAAGAAAGAGAGGAAAAAAGGTCCGCCACAAAAAATCCGCCGACGCTTTACGGCGAATGGCCGATGAGTAGCGGCGACCGGGTCGCCGGCCATCGTTACATATAGCGGTGCAACGTATGTACACGCGGCGCGATCGGAGCTCACTGTACTCTAACGAGCGGTACACGTGTTCTGACGTCTGCGCTATAAAATACGTACGGGCACGCGCACACAGGACGCATGTACGTGCGCCACCGACCGCCGCCGCCGCTCGAGAGCGAGCGAGTACGAGCGAGTGCGTGGAAGCACTTTAGAGCTGGTTTTCAATGAGCGAGCCGGCCGGAAGAAGAGGGAGAAACACAGAGAGAAAGAGAACGCGGAAGGGGCGAGAGGAGGCGTGTAGGTGGCGGGAGGGCAAGAACGGCCGTCAGAGAGGGAGGAACATAAACCCTTATCGAAATCGTGATTCACCCCACATTCTCTGGAGACCCCCTAACCTATTAACATCCATATCACAATAACAGATACACGTGTACGCCGCGCTGTGTATTCCCACACCGATGTCTAGCTCATTGTATCCTCTCTCTCTTTCTCTCTCTCTTGTCACGCTCTCCGCATTCCACCATCGCTCGCATTTATAATTGCTCGCGACGCGACGAAAAGAAGAGAGAAAAAAGAGGTTGTAAAGTGACCATTATGTGCTGCGCGATTTTAGGATTAAAATGAAATTTCGATCGCGCTTTCGTCGTCGTCGCCGCGAAGCCAGTTGCTTCCCTCTCTCTCTCTCTCTCTCTCTCTCTTTTTTCGTCACGAGCGAAAAGCGGTCGCGCGCAATTTTCGACAAAACGGACGCGATGAAACGCATTGGCGGAACAGCGCGGAATTTTCTTCCCGAAGCGCGAATCTCGAACGATATCGTAATGAAAGGTCGGAAAATGAAAAATCAGCCCTCGGCAATCCCGCGAAATCTCTCCTCGTCGCATTAATCCAAAGAACGCGGGGAAAATGAAAGATAACGTTACTCTCCTCACGCTCGTCGACCGGGTTGTTACGTTTTCACGGGGCTAAAAAAGGCTCACGCTTTAAAAAAAAACCAGAGTTAATTAAGCCGAAGAATTGTTGAAAAATGAACTATATTCCGTCCGAGTAATCGAATGAGGCGCCAAGAAATAATTAGGAATATAGGCTCATACTGCGATCTGACTAACGGAATGAAAGGCCCGATTAATCACCGGCTTAGTGTGATCATCATTTTCAGAAACAGATTTTGCCAACGTTCTTACGGCGCGACATCGATCGCATCCCAGCGCGAATTTCAATGCGCCGCGTCGGATAACGGTGATCAGTCGACGATATTCGCGATTGTTGTTACATTGCGGCAACAACAATACGTATCAGGGATGTTGGCTTTAGCTATTTGGAAGTTTAACTCAGAAATGGAAACACGAAGGGAGGAGAGAGAGAGAGAGAAGAAGTTCGTCACGAAATTCGAACAATCCAAGAGAAACGTCTTTACAAGTTAAAGATTCGTGAGCGTGTGTGAGAGTGCAAACAAGCAATACATCTATATACGGATTCGCGTCGTCTGTACCGCGAGCTCGCGCTCACCGCGTTCACGTTTATTCGAGCGGAGAAATGGAAGCTGGTTTTCGGACGGACACCCAGTGCATCAAGATAGATAGGTAGATAGACGTCCGGATAGATGCATGCCACGGCAGGCAGGCAGGCAGGCGGGCAACCAGTAAGGGATGCCGAGGGGTGGTAGAGAGTGCAACGAGGCTTGGCGAGGGAGGTTGCGGGGAGCGGACGCGAGGGTCGTGGCGAGATCCGAAGTGGAGGACGAGGGGGTGGCGAGCGCGGCGCCCGACGGGACCGGGAGGAGGAAGGGGACGACGTGGAAGGTAGCACGGAGGAGGGTTGGGCGGAGGGTTCTCTCGCTGATTACGTCGCAGGATGGCCAGGAGAGAGAAACCCAGAAGAGGATGCTGCTACGCCGCGCCGGTCGGTCGGTCGGTGGCGCGGAGGAGGCCGGTCTACCGGATAGAGGCGAATATATCCGCAATGTCCTACCAACGCCAACCCTACGCGCGCTCTATCTCCTTCTACACTACCGCCACCTCCTCTTACTGCTCCTCTTGCTCGACCCCTTTCGTCCACCCTCCGTCCGACCATCGCGGTCCCTGGCCTTCCTCCGCGATCTCTCTCTCTCTCTCTCTCCCTCCCTTCCGACACCGGCGCAGCTTCCAGCGCGGCAAGGCCCTAAGCTAAACTAAGCCACGTCAGGATAGGATAGTGCCGGGAGGATAGGATGGGATAGGATGGTTGGTCGGATAGTGCCCATCTACTTCCTCGCGCACACAACAACCGGGACGGCGACGAGGAGAACGACGACGACGACGGCGACGGCGACGGCGACGACGACCCCTCGTGCAAAAGCATCAACCTTCTCGCTCCGTCTTCCTCTCTCTCTCTCTCTCTCTCTCTCATGTCTCACGATCTCGCGTCCCTCGCGCCATCACGTGAGTTCTCCCGCTTCTCTCTTACCCTCTACACTCTCTCGCTCACGATCCGCCTTTCTCCGTCAGCAACACCACCCACGGACCTCCCGGGGGGTTAGTTAGGGGTAGTATATTGACGGCCGGCGTCGCGAGGACGCCTATACTTAGCGTGCCGGCGAACCAACGCGTTTCCAGCGAGCAAGGTGTCCCTCCACCCTTGGGTCACCCTTCACAACCACCACCCACCAACCCGTCCACCCTATTCTACACCCTCCACCTTCGTGCGTCCTGCCTCACCCTCTACGTCGTCCTTTGCCGTCACACAGCCGTGTTGGTGGCTTCCCCCTCGCCGTTTGACCGCGCTCGCTCGTCCACCGCCCCACGAACACAACCATCCACCCCATTCCGGAGCTTCTTCTACCTCGATCCTATCCTACGAACCCTATCGTGTATAGCCTACCGCGCCGTCGAGGAGGCGGATAGCTCGTCGTCGCCGTCGTCGTCGTCGTTTTCTCTCGTGCGCAAGCGGCAACCTGGTCCAAAATTACCGCCGGCGATAAAGGAAGGGTTGGAAGACGAGTTTCTTACGATGTTGAGCGACGTAGGCCGTTGAAATCGATGCGTTCG